GATGCCCACTATCACCACTCCTGTTCAACATAGTTCTGGAAACATTAGCCACAGCAATTAGACAAGAGAAAGAAAGTAAAGCAATAAAGATAGGAAAGGAAGAAGCTAAACTGTCATTATTTGCTAATGGTATGATACTCTATATAGAAGAGCCAAAAAAACTTTGCCAGAAGACCTCTAGACTTAATTGACACTTTCAGCAGAGTAGATGGATATAAGATCAACACTGAGAAATCAATAGCCTTCTTGTACACAAATAAGAGACTCACTGAGATAGAAATTAGGGAAGTAATTTCTTTCACAATAGCATCCCCAAAAATGAAGTATCTAGGAATCAATCTAATGAAAGAAACAAAAGACCTCTACACTGAAAATTACAGCACTCTGAAAAAAAGAGATCTAAGAGGATATAAGAAAATGGAAAGATATCCCCTGCTCCTGGGTAGGAACAATCAACATAGTGAAAATGCTGTACAGAGTTACCAAAACTGCTATACAGATTCAATGCAATTCCGATTGAAATCTCAACAGTATATTTCACAGAACTAGAGAAAATAATCCAAAAATTCATTTGGAACCTGAAGAGACCCAGAAGAGCAAAAGCCATTCTAGGCAACCAAGACATGGCAGGGGGTATAACAATTCCCAACTTGAAATTATACTACAAAGCCACTGTGATAAAAACCGCATGGTACTGACAAAGAAAAAGACCTGAGGATCTGTGGAATAGATTTGAAGATACAGAAACAACTCCAGATGTACTCAGCTACCTCATCTTTGACAAAGGAGCCAACCATCCTCACTGGGGGAAAGATAGACTCTTTAATAATTATGTTACAAAAACTGTATTTCAACCTGCCAAAGATTAAAACTAGACCCTTATCTTTCACCATGCACTAAATTAAAATCCAAGTGGATTAAAGATCTAAATATTAAAAAAGAAACACTAAACTTTCTGGAAGATAAGTTAGGTAGAACTCTTCAAGATGTTGGCATAGGAAAAGACTATGAACAAATCCTCAGTAGCACACAACTAACACAAAGAATCAACCACTGGGATCTCATCCTATTAAAAAGCTTCTGCACTGTAAACGAAACCATCAACAGAGCTAAGAGACAACCTACATTGTGGGAAAAAAATTTTACCAGCTGCTCCTCAGACAAAGGACTATTATCTAGAATATATAAAGAACTCAAAAAAAAATTAGGCCACCCAAATATAAAGACGTGATTCAAAAATGGGCATCTGAAATGAACAGACATTGCTCAGACAAAGAAGTTACAGCAGCAAGTAAATATATGAAAAAATGTTCCACATCACTTTCATTTGAGAGATGCAGATGAAAACAGCACTGAGATAGATTCCACCTTACCCCAGAAAGAATAGCTGCTATCAAGAAATCAACCAATAACAAATGTTGGTGGGGTTGTGGGGAGAAAGGAACCCTTCTCCATTGTTGGTGGGAGTACAGACTGGGGCAACCACTATGGAAATCAATATGGAGATACCTCAAAAGTCTGGGACTAGAGGTTCCATTTGACCCAGCCATCCCTCTGCTGGGTATCTTTCCAAAAGAATTTAAAAAATCATATCACAGTGATATATGCACACCTATGTTTATAGCAGCACAGTGTGTAACAGCTAAAACTTGGAAACAGCCCATCAGTTGGAGACTGGATAAAGAAGATGTGGTTTTTCTATATAATGGAGCACTACTCAGCCATAAAGAATGAGAAACTAGAGTCATTCATAGGAAAATGGATGCATATTGGAGGCCATACTTTTAAGTGAAGTAAATAAGACACACAAGTGTACATACCAAATAGTTTCTCTTGTGTGAAAAACTAAAAGTGTAAATAAAATCCAAATGGCACAATTGACAACGTGAAATAGGAAGAAAAGGGCTACTACACATGTAGGGGAAGTGGGAAGGGTAGGGGAAAGGAAATAAGGGACAAGAAAAAATATGAGAAAAGGAAAAAATGGAAATAAAGTGTTTGTAAATGGGGAGGAGAGGAGGGAGTGAAGGGAGGGCAGGGACAAGGGGAAAAATGAGAACCAAGACCTGTTATGTAAAGGTACAAGATCCTAATGATGAATGTAACTGTACTGTATACCTAAAATGTACCAATAAACTCAATGAAAAAAAGAGGAGGAGCTTGGAAGAAAGCTTTTGTTTATGGATATTTGCAAACATAATATATGTCCCCCAAATGCATCTTGGGTTTTATTTCTCTCTTGTACTCATTAAATACTTGTTCAATGCAAAAAAAGAAAAAGAAAAAAAGGAAAAAACTAAAGAAAATGGCTGCTTCTGGCTACCAGCACAGAGCTGCAGTACCAGGCTCTGGCCACTTCCTGTTTCGCCTCAGGGTACTGCCAGTGATCCTGGGTTCCCTTTCGCTTACCGGAGCAGCTACGAAACGTGCCTCCTGGGCGCTGTGAGCTGTGCTGCCAGCCGGGCACAGCCTCAGTCGAGAACCTTCTGGGGCAGCAGGTGTTAGTCAGCTCAGTGCTATGCTGGGCTCTTTCTTTCAGCTCCCTGGCACTGTGATTCCCACCCCCACGGACATATATAACTTAAGTCTGTCTCTGTCAGCTCTTTGCCTTTGTAGACATTAATGTTTATGCCATCTAAAGCTGTTGGCTAGGCAGGAAGTAGATGACAATTAAGAAAAATTGAAATAGCTGCAGAATAGAACAGAAGACCCAGAAACAGCCCAAGGAGAAGGCACAGGTTCTTCAGCATGCAGTGCTGGGGAAACTGGAGATCCACGTGAAGAAGATTGAAATGAGATGCCTCTCTCTCACACTGTACTAAAATAAAATCAAAAGGGATAAAAGATCTAGATATAAAAGCAGAATTTTGGGCTGGGGATTTAGCTTAGTAGTTCCGCCGCTTGCCTCACAAGCACAAGGACCCAAGTTTGATCCCCGGTACCCACACACACAAAAAAGCAAATTGGAATTTTGAAATTACTGGAAGATAACATAGAAGAAACACCATGAGCACCGGAAATGGTGTCAAGAACCAACAAATGTCATGAAATCAAATGAAAAAGTTTCTGGACAGCAAAAGAAATGACAGAATTAGGTGACAACTTATAGAATAGCAGAAAAATTTTGCTACTAACTCTTCTGAGAGATGACTCATAGCTAGACTATACAAAGAACTCAAAAAATTAGCCCCCCAAAACCAAGTAGTCCAATTGGAAAAAAAGAGGAGCAATTGAACTGAAAAGACACTTCTCAAAAAAAGAAGTACAAACGGCCAATAAGTGTATGAAAAAACGCTCCGCAGTGAAAATCAAAACAACTTGGAGATTCCATCTCACTTTAGTCAAAGTGGCTGTCATCAAGGAGACAAAAAATAATGAAACCTGGTGAGGACGTGGGGGAAAACCATGTCTACATTGTGGAAGGAAACGTAACCTAGTGCAGCCACTATGGAAATCAGGAAGGAGACTCCTCAGACAGGTAAAAAATAGAAGTTTCATTTGGCACAGCTATTTCCATCCTGGGGATATTCCCCAAGGAATCAGACATCATACTATAGTGCCTCATATACAGCCATGTGAAGAGAGGCACAATCAGTGGCTAAACTCTGGAAACAGTCTAGGAGCTCATCAACAGATAAATACTAAGAAAGATGGCATCTATACACAATGGGATTCCATTCAGCAATAAAGAAAAATGAAAGCATGTCATCTGTACAAAAATGCATGGAATGCAAGATCATCGTGGTAGGCAAAATAGGCCAGCCTCAGGAATTTCAACATCGCATTTGCTCTTATATTAAACACAAAATAAAAATCAATCGACCAATAAATAAAATAAAGGAGTGGTGAAAAGAAACTAGAAGGCAGACACTTGGAGAGGAAGAAAAGGATAGAGGCAGGGAAGAAAGTGAGAGAGGATAAAGGAATTAAAAATTATCGAGATATCCCACATGCATGTACCAGCTCCCCCAAATGTGCGTGGATGTTCTGTATTACAAACACGCATACTAAAAAGACATGAACTGAAAAAGAAAAGTGAGATGAATTTTTAAAATGGCACGCACCAGCTTGGGGTGTAGCTCACTGGTAGAGCACTTGCCCAGAAACCCAAGGCTCTGACTTCCATTCCTTGTATAGCAAAATATTAATAAATTATAAAAATAAATTAAAGACACTCATAAATAAAATAAACTATATTTAGGATAAGCAATTCATTCCATCAACTTTAAAATAACATAAAGAGCAATAGATGTCAAAGAAAATACAATCTACCTGACAGTAAAAATGTCACACAGATAATTTTGTTTTGTTTTGTTTTTCTCTGTTTTACCAAGACAGGGTCTCACTATGTAGTTCAGGCTGGCCTTGTACAACTATGGACCTGAGGATGCCCTTGAGATCCTGGCCAGCTTCCTGTCTCAGCCTCCCAAGTGCTGAGATTACAGGTGTTCATTACCCTGTCCAGAACACAAATAAAGAAATTAAAGCAATAGGTGAAATATCCACATATGAAATTAATGGAGAATAATAAAAAATCACTGTGCTGAATTTGTAAAAATTGCTAACAATAATCACAAAAAGCCAGATGTCTTGAATACAAGAAAGGTGAAACTAACTCATGCCCAGGCCACCAGCCACCCAGGCTGAAGAAAGAATTTTTATTTTCCATAAAGCCTTTAGTGATGTGGATACAAGTTCAGCTTGAAAAACTATTTACACAAGATCATATCTCCCAGGGAAATACACTTGTGCAGTTGGGTAGGCCAGACAGGGAAAAATGAAGATGGGCTTCCTAGAACAAACCCTGCGTGTGTCACACAGGGAAAGCAGAGGCAGGGGGGTCAGGTGAGTCTCAGGCTCCAGGACAATGAGGAAGGAGACACACAGGAAACCTGAGGAAAGGTTGAGGAAAGTGTTGCGGGGGGCAAACAAGAACCTGAAGTCTAGTCAACAAATAAACACATGACCAGGGAGAACGGTAAACAGCCACGACACAGAGAATGAGCGTTCAGAGGAACCTGGGCAGGTATATAAAGGTCCCAGCCCAGGAGGCTCCACACCTGCACACCTCCATCTCCACCTGCTCCTCTGACCTCTCCATCTCCATCACCAGAACCATGACCGGCTGTGCCTGTTCCGGAGGCTGTGGCTCCAGCTGCTCCTGTGTGCCCGTGTGCTGCTGTGTGCCAGCCTGTCCCTGCTCCAGCTGTGCCAAAGGGAGCTGTGGGGGCTGCAAGGGAGGCTGTGCTTCCTGTGGGGGCTGTAGCTCCTGTGAGGGATGCAAGGGAGGCTGTGGCTCTTGTAGTTGTTCCAAGGGAGGCTGTAGCTCTTGTGGGGGCTGCAAGTCCAGCTGTTGCCAATCCAGCTGTTGCAAGCCCTGTAGCTGTGAACCCAGCTGCTGCAAGCCCTGCAGCTGCCAGGTGAGTTGCTGCAAGCCCTGCAGCTGCGAACCCAGCTGCTGCAAGCCCTGCTGCTGCCAGGCCAGTTGCTGCAAGCCCTGTAGCTGCGAACCCAGCTGCTGCAAGCCCTGCTGCTGCCAGGTCAGCTGCTGCAAGCCCTGTAGCTGTGAACCCAGTTGCTGCAAGCCCTGCTGCTGCCAGGTCAGCTGCTGCAAGCCCTGCTGCTGTGAACCCAGCTGCTGCAAGCCCTGCTGCTGCCAGGTCAGCTGCTGCAAGCCCTGTAGCTGCGAACCCAGTTGCTGCAAGCCCTGCAGCTGCGAATCCAGCTGCTGCAAGCCCTGCTGCTGCCAGGCCAGTTGCTGCAAGCCCTGCAGCTGTGAACCCAGCTGCTGCAAGCCCTGCTGCTGCCAGGTCAGCTGCTGCAAGCCCTGCTGCTGCTGCGAACCCAGCTGCTGCAAGCCCTGCTGCTGTGAACCCAGCTGCTGCAAACCCTGCTGCTGCCAGGTCAGTTGCTGCAAGCCCTGCTGCTGTGAACCCAGCTGCTGCAAGCCCTGCTGTTCCCAGTCCAGCTGCTGTGCCCCTGTGTGCTGCCAGTGTAAGGTCTGAGGTCTAAACTCAGACGAGTCCTGCTGCCATGGCCACAATTCATCACTCGTCCTCCCGGTAAGACGAAGCCAGATTTGCCTCCCACTTCCTACAAGGAGGCCACGCAACCCCTCACTGTCTCCCAACAAGTTTTCCTCCCAAGTCACACTCTGGCTCCAACATCCCCTGCCCACATCCTGGCCAGTGCTGTTCCACTCAGCAGCCTGAGCTCCTGAACACTTTCAAGCCTGTCTTTGGCTCTAGGAGGACCCTGCCTCGGTGTCCCACTTGGACTGAGGTGGGGCAAAGACTTCCTGGGCTTCATTGCAGGCCACAAGCTATTTTATGTTAAATGGAAAGTTGCAAACCAATAAAAGCATTCTGGCCACACACTGAAACACGTGTCTTGCTCATTTCTCTGCTCTTCACCACCACTCCATGGCCATGGGCCCTGCTGTTCCTGCTGGGTGTTGGTCTTCACGTGGCTCCTGATGCTGAGGCTCTGAGCCCTGTTAGGATGAGGCATGGAGGTCACTTGTGCCTCAAGCCGCCCTCCACATGGAGCCCTGCCTCTCCCGGGATTCCTCTCTGCCTGTGTCCTGTCACCGCTGGCCTGCTGGGACCAGAACTGTCCCTGGGGCCAGGCCAGTAGAAGCCCCAAGGCTGGGAAAGCTCCTGGGTATTTCAGACTCTCCCCTCCTCCTGGCCCACTTGGCCGTCTCCCCTGGGAAGTCCTTGCAGCTGACTTGGTCTGATTTTCTTTGTTAGTTTTTTTCCCTGGTCCTGGGGATCAAACTCAGGACCTCGTGCTTGCAAAGGCAGCTGTGGTGCCACTGAGCTACATCCCAGACTTCTTTGTTACTCTTTACAAAGGCCTTTTTCCTCAGTAATCAAACACATTTCTAAGGGCTCCAAACCCTTCTCGCTGTGATTCCTCTCCTCCATCCTCTCCCAGGAGGAAGCCCTAAGTCTTCTCCAGTGTGGCAGGCCTGGGAATGAGAGGGACCCACCACACCCACACGTAGGAGGCTGCACACGCAGACCCCACTACCGTACGCTCTCCCAGCCCCTGTGCCTAGGGCAGAGCGATCAGCTGCACGTCTCCATCCACAGCCCTCCGCTCCAGTCTGCGAAACACACCAGAAATTGTCAGGAAACAGAGACCAGGGCCGGTTCCCAAACTACGGAGCTTTGGCAATGTCTCTCTGAGCTGTCCCCTGCTGCCCTAAACTTGGAGTGATATTCTTTCCAAGTTCTTAATGGGCGATACTGACAGAGATAAATTATTTCAGACTATTGAAAGAGACATTAGTTTACTGTCGGGAATTGGCAAATCACAAGAAGACATCAAAAAAAATGTTAAAAATCTCCAGCTGTTTTCAGGTGCCCTTTTGGTGGTGGTCGATGAGATGATTACCATTTTGAGACTTCTGCAGTGTTTCATGGGAAAAGCATATGCATTCGAGTGTTCACGAGAGCTGGAATTTTTAGTGTGAGATTAATGAGGTTAAGAAAAGTTGAATTCTTGAATTAGATGTATCTCTAAGAGATAATGATATATTTTACTGTTTTTATAGAAGTGTTTCCCACTCCTCTGAAATACCTAGAAATAATGGTCTATTCAGTATCAGTGAACACTCCCAGCACCAAGACTTTTGTCTTTAAATACGATTTCCTGTACCTAAACAGAACCTGGATGCCCTGGGGAAATGAGGTAGAAGTGAACAGCATAGGCTTTGTTAGAAAGTGAGAAAGAGAACAGACTACTGAGGCCATAACAGAAGAATGAAGGCGTCAGACCTGAGCAGCACCAGTGCAGTCGTGCCCTGGGATCTTCAGTTATTCAAAGGCCTTGGCCCGCAACAAATGAATGTAAATCTGTAAGCACGTAGTACACCAAGATGCTGCAGGTAAGGTGCAAAATGCAAAAGTTTCCAGTTGCCACTAGGAGATGCTGGAAACGGATTCATTATTTTGAACACAGGTTAGTAAAAAAGAAACAGCCAAGTATTTCTCCAGTCTTTAATATACAAAGCATGTTATCATAACTGAAAATCAAAGAAAGTGCTCCAGTTTACAAGTAAAGAAAAGATCATGGGATGTGAAATTTTCCACTTTGTAACCCCTTAGAAAACAGTGGGCGCAGCAAATTTAGTGAATGCTGCCAAATCAGTGGTTACAGGAAAACTTGCAACCTCAAATATATTTTTTTTATTTATTTGTTCGTTGGTTGGTTGGTACCGGGGATCAAACTTGGGACCATGCATTGGCGAGGCAGGCAGCAGAACCGCTGAGCTAAATCCCCGGCTCACAACCTCAAATATATATAGTCAAGTAAGACAGAAACACTACTAGGCAAAAAACTCATCGGTAGGACTGAGAGAGTTGCCACACCAGAGCACTGAATGGGTGCTTTTTGGGGCTAAGCATAGGTCCCTGGGTCTCCGGCCTTGTGGGGACTGCAGGGATGTATGGGAAACAGCAGAGGGCGCTCCGCAAACCCCTTGCATGTAGGTAGGATACGCCATCTGATTGCTTGAGTCAGGAGACAGACGCTCGAAATGTCGCGGCGGCTTTCCATGTCCTCTTTTCCGCCTCCCATGGCAAACACTTATGCTCCACCCGGCGTCCCCAGAGAAAGGACCCGTGAGTAGAGCCACCCTGTAGAGGCACGCAGTGGGGACAGGAAGTAAGCCTGTGTCCTGCTAAGGCCCTAACATTTAGGGATATCTTGTTGGGGGGCATAACCGCCCTACCCTGGTTGACTCAGAGACTGGTTTATCGGCCAGGTGGTGTGAGGGCAGTGAGCCTTAGGAGCTGGCAAGGAGGTGGTGCACATTTGTAAGACTGTCTTGAACTGCAAGTCTCTGGGAAGGAGCTCAGAAAACACGATGCTACTTGTGTGCTGGTTGCTGGGGCTGCAGTTAGCAAAGCGTTATGCAGGGAACCCGAAGCACCCAACCTCATGCTCATATCCCAGCGGGACTCCTTGTCCTGCCCCCGAAGCCAGCTCTCTCTCCAGCCCTTCCTGTTACCTGATGGTGGCCCCAGACTCCCACATGGTTCCTCCTCTGGGCTGTGTTCTATCACCCTCCAGCTCCAACCCAGAGGCGAACACCATTTATTCTAACCCTTAATTATATTTAGAGCCTAATTTGCCAATCATCGGGCTGGCAATCTACCTAATGACCACCTTCACCAGCGCAACTCATGCCCAGGGCATCACCACCTACTGCTTGCTCTTCTGTGCACTTTATAAACATTGCCGCCTTCAATGTTCACCAATTCTTCTGAACCATGCGCTCCTTTCATAAGATTTAAACTCTTCATCCCAGCACTCGGGAGGCTGAGGCAGGAGGATCGCTGTGAGTTTGAGACCAGCCAGGGCTACATAGTGAGTTTCAGGTCAGTCTCAACTACATAGTGAGACCCTGTCTCAAAACAACAACAACAACAACAAAAAGATTTAAACTCTTATTTTTGGATAGCTGTGAATTCATCTAGTTCTAGATAGCTATGGATTTTAGTTTGGGGTAGTTGTGAATAATTTGGAAAGTCCTAAGAAAAAAACCACATGGGACCATTGGCAATCTCACACCCAGGATATCTACCCGTGACATTTCCATCACAAGGGGGCCTGGAGCTGCCCTAAGAGAGTGACTGCAGGTCCCACAGTCCCTACCCTATCCCCAAACCACAGCAACCGCAGAGCAGTTGTCCCTCCTAATTTTTTGTAGTTTCAGGAATGTTGTATAAATGGAACCACGAGATGGGCAACTGCTGGGACTGGTACTGTTCCTATGTCATAACTCTCAGGACACTCATCTAGGATATTCTATCAGTGTTTATTGTATCTCACTGCTGATTCATGCTCTGTGACATGGATGGATGCACCACGGTACAGACCGGTCTTAATACAAATGGGCCACAGTACAGGTGGACTGGGTTTTACAAAGCACTCTGTGAAGAACTTTGTGTTGTTTCCCGAGTGCGGCGGTCACTAAGCTCTTATAAGCATTCACAGACATGTTTGTGTGTGATCAAAATGTTTGTTCCTCTGGGATGCGCAACCACAAGTGAGATTTCTGGTGTGTTACAGAGTACTTGTAAGTCTTGTTTTCTTTGAAGATGCTGCCAAATTCTTTTCCAGACTGGCCATACTATTCTGCTTTCCCACTGTCGATGTAAGAGCGATTTTGTTTCTCTGCACTCCCACCAGCATTTGGTGATGTTACTATTTTTTAATTATGTCATTCTAACAGATGCGCCATAATCCCGGGTTTTTTGTTTTGTTTTGCTTTTGCGGTGTTGAAGGTGAAACCCAGGACCTCACACTTGCTAGGCACGTGTTCTACCACTGAGCTATATCCCTGCCTTTTCTATTTTTTATTTTAAGACGTGATCTCACTGAGTTGCCCAGGCTAAGATCAAACTATCAATCCTCCTAGGTGAGTATCTAGAGTTGCTGGGTTTCCAGGCATGCAGCACTGTGCCCAGAGAATTATGTTTTTAGTGCACATTTCCTAATCCAGACCTTCATGTGCTTCTTTGCTGTGTGTCCACTCCTTCGTAAGATCTCTTCAAGTCTCTTGGTCATGTACTAATTGGATTGGATTTTCTTCTTTGTTTTGTCATTGAGAGTTCTTTATATAACCTGAATAACAGTCCTTTGTCAGATGTATAGTTTGTAAATGTTTCGGTCATGCTGCATACATAATTCTATTGCTGGTTTCTACTAGTACAATTTTCCCCCTTGTGCCAATGGCTGTGAATTTGGGCTACAGGATGAGAAGCAAAGCCCAGGTGTCTCATTGTTTGAGCCACTGGAATCTGTGCGATTTGCTTCTGCAGTGGCGCGTGGACATCACGGTGGACACACCAAGCAGGTGACGGACGACCAGTGAACACAAAGCGCTGCAACAGAAATTTCCTTGTCATGAGCCTAGAGTCTGTGCTGTATGAATCAGGGCTCCCCCGCCCTTCTCTCTTCCTTCCTTCCTTTTTCTTCTCTGCCTCCCTCCGTCTTCCCTCCCTTCCTTCTTATTTATTTATTTAGCCCCGGGAATTGAACTCAGGACCTTGCACTTGCCAGGCAGGTGCAGTGCCACTGAGCTGCATTCCTGGACCTCTTCTTTCTCGGCTATATTTTCCTCATTCCTTCCTCCCTTCTTTCTTTCCTGCCTTCCTTCTTTGCTTCCTTCCCTTCTTCCTCCCTGCTTTCTCCCTCCCCTCCCATCTTTTCTTCTCCGTGAAATATGTGTGTGTTTATCACAGCACCTCTTCCTGTCCTTCCCATGTCTGATGCTGCAGATTAGAGGGATGTCGGGACAGCTGGGTTCCCTTCTGCTTCCCGGAGCTCATGAAATGAGACAAAGTGGAGCGGGAGCAAGTTGTTCCTAACTACTTTTTTGACAGAGGACCTGATACCTAGAATATATAAATCATTTTAAAAATTAGCTCCCCACACCAAATAACTCAACCAGGAAGCCGGGCAGTGGAATTGAAAGGACAGTTCTCAAAAGAAGAAGTAAAAGAGACCCATAAGTATATGCAAAAATGTTCAGTTTTTTTAGCTGTTAGGGGAATGCAAATCAAAACAAACAAGATTCCATCCTACCCCGGTCAGAAGGGCTATCATCATGAACATAGAAAACAATGGAGACTAAGGAGGATGTAGGGATACAGAAACCCTCCTATATTGTTGGTGGAAAAGTAAACTAGTGCAGCCACTATGGAAATTAGTATGTAGATGCCTCAAAAACCTAAAACCAGAATGTCTTAGTTACTTTTCTTGTGATTAAGACAAAATACTCAATACCCAAAAGTTAAAGGAGGAGTGGGTTATTTTAGCCCACAGTTTGTAAGGTTTCCATCCATAACCAGCTGGCTCCAAGGCAGAGTTGCCTGGCAGAGGAGAAACGGTCCACGACAGAGCTGGCAGGAGGCAGCAGGCGGCAGCAGCAACCCTCCTTTCCCCTTTTATCCCAACTAAGGTACAAGCCTTTTGGGTGACGCCACCCACAACCAGAGAGGGCCTTCCCAGAAGGTAGACCTATTAGTGGGCTAATCCAGTATCAAACACCCTTAATCCCAGTACCAGACCCTAGATCCAGCCACCTTCGCAACGCCCCACTGAGCCCATGAGGCTTTAGGGTGACCTCTAACTACAAACAATGACACAGAATTTCCATTTGACACAGCTATACCTGTCCTGGATATATTCCTGAAAGACTGAAAGACATAATACTTTCATTGTACATACATACATGTAGTGACGCGTCACCATGGCTACTCTGAAAACAGCCTAGTTGCTTGTCAACAGCTAGACAGATAAAGAAAATGTGGTATATACGACATACACACACACACACACACACACACACACACACACACTAGGATATTATTCAGCCTTAAAGATGAAATCACATAATTTTCAGAAAAACGGTGGATGGAACCTGAGATCATCATGCTAAGCAAAACAAGCCAGATTCAGAAATTTCAACATCACATGTTATTCTTCTACTAAAAACCTAAAATATAAGTAAAATAGATAGGGGACCATAGGAGACTAGAAGGCAGACTCTTCAGATGAGGAAAGGGATGGGGGAGAGAAGCGGATGGAGGGCAGGGGTAAAAGGATTGAATGCGATCAAAATCCGTCATATGCCTAAAGTGATTCGCCAAAACGAACGTCGCTAAACATGCATAATGGAAAAGCCTAATCTAAAAAGGAAAAGAAAAGGTAAAATGAATGTTGTAAATGTCGTACACTGAGCTGTGATTTAGCTTGGTAATGCAGCAGTTGCCTAGCAACCCCAAGGTCCTGGGTCCTATGACCTGCACCACAACATAGCAACTATACTAAAGGTAGAAATGTTTAAAAACACAGTCCTGAACACGCACACATACATGCATCAAAAAGAAAATGCAGTGGGAACAAGAAATTTATTTCAATCATTTACAAATAACTTTCAGGGAAAACAAGAGAATGAATATTATATGATTTATGTGATAACACAAATAATAACCCACACAGATAATTAAAGAAATTAAAGCAATAGGTGGAATACCCCTTTCCAACTATGAAACTAATGAATATTTTAAGCAAAAATAATATGGTGTTGGAGCTGCAAACTTCATCTCCAAGACTCACGAGCAACCAGATGAACAAGGAAGGTGAAATTGAATAATGTGTCTTCACATGATGAGACAGGAAAAGAAAACCATATTTTTTCAAGAAAAACCCTACTGATGTGGATACAAGTTCAGCTTGAGAAACTATTTACACAAGATCATATCTCCCAGGGAAATACACTTGTGCAGTTGGGAAGGCCAGACAGGGAAAAATAAAGACGGGCTTCCTAGAACAAACCCTGCGTGTGTCACACAGGGAAAGCAGAGGCAGGGGGTCAGGTGAGTCTCAGGCTCCAGGACAATGAGGAAGGAGACACACAGGAAACCTGAGGAAAGGTTGAGGAAAGTGTTGCGGGGGGCAAACAAGAACCTGAAGTCTAGTCAACAAATAAACACATGACCAGGGAGAACGGTAAACAGCCACGACACAGAGAATGAGCGTTCAGAGGAACCTGGGCAGGTATATAAAGGTCCCAGCCCAGGAGGCTCCACACCTGCACACCTCCATCTCCACCTGCTCCTCTGACCTCTCCATCTCCATCACCAGAACCATGACCGGCTGTGCCTGTTCCGGAGGCTGTTCCCCCTGTGCGGGGTGCAAGGGGGGCTGTTCCCCCTGTGGGGGCTGCAAGGGGGGCTGTGGGTCCTGTGGAGGCTGCAAGGGGGGCTGTAGCTCCTGTGAGGGATGCAAGGGAGGCTGTGGCTCTTGTAGTTGTTCCAAGGGAGGCTGTAGCTCTTGTGGGGGCTGCAAGTCCAGCTGTTGCCAATCCAGCTGTTGCAAGCCCTGTAGCTGTGAACCCAGCTGCTGCAAGCCCTGCTGCTGCCAGGTGAGTTGCTGCAAGCCCTGCAGCTGCGAACCCAGCTGCTGCAAGCCCTGCTGCTGCCAGGTGAGTTGCTGCAAGCCCTGCAGCTGTGAACCCAGCTGCTGCAAGCCCTGCTGCTGCCAGGTCAGCTGCTGCAAGCCCTGCAGCTGTGAACCCAGCTGCTGCAAGCCCTGCTGCTGCCAGGTCAGCTGCTGCAAGCCCTGTAGCTGCGAACCCAGCTGCTGCAAGCCCTGCTGCTGCGAACCCAGCTGCTGCAAACCCTGCTGCTGCCAGGTCAGTTGCTGCAAGCCCTGCAGCTGCGAACCCAGCTGCTGCAAGCCCTGCTGCTGCCAGGTCAGCTGCTGCAAGCCCTGTAGCTGTGAACCCAGCTGCTGCAAGCCCTGCTGCTGCCAGGTCAGCTGCTGCAAGCCCTGCAGCTGTGAACCCAGCTGCTGCAAGCCCTGCTGCTGCCAGGTCAGCTGCTGCAAGCCCTGTAGCTGCGAACCCAGCTGCTGCAAGCCCTGCTGCTGCGAACCCAGCTGCTGCAAACCCTGCTGCTGCCAGGTCAGTTGCTGCAAGCCCTGCAGCTGCGAACCCAGCTGCTGCAAGCCCTGCTGCTGCCAGGTCAGTTGCTGCAAGCCCTGCAGCTGTGAACCCAGCTGCTGCAAGCCCTGCTGCTGCCAGGTCAGCTGCTGCAAGCCCTGCTGCTGTGAACCCAGCTGCTGCAAGCCCTGCTGCTGCCAGGTCAGCTGCTGCAAGCCCTGTAGCTGCGAACCCAGTTGCTGCAAGCCCTGCAGCTGCGAATCCAGCTGCTGCAAGCCCTGCTGCTGCCAGGCCAGTTGCTGCAAGCCCTGCAGCTGTGAACCCAGCTGCTGCAAGCCCTGCTGCTGCCAGGTCAGCTGCTGCAAGCCCTGCTGCTGCTGCGAACCCAGCTGCTGCAAGCCCTGCTGCTGTGAACCCAGCTGCTGCAAACCCTGCTGCTGCCAGGTCAGTTGCTGCAAGCCCTGCTGCTGTGAACCCAGCTGCTGCAAGCCCTGCTGTTCCCAGTCCAGCTGCTGTGCCCCTGTGTGCTGCCAGTGTAAGGTCTGAGGTCTAAACTCAGACGAGTCCTGCTGCCATGGCCACAATTCATCACTCGTCCTCCCGGTAAGACGAAGCCAGATTTGCCTCCCACTTCCTACAAGGAGGCCACGCAACCCCTCACTGTCTCCCAACAAGTTTTCCTCCCAAGTCACACTCTGGCTCCAACATCCCCTGCCCACATCCTGGCCAGTGCTGTTCCACTCAGCAGCCTGAGCTCCTGAACACTTTCAAGCCTGTCTTTGGCTCTAGGAGGACCCTGCCTCGGTGTCCCACTTGGACTGAGGTGGGGCAAAGACTTCCTGGGCTTCATTGCAGGCCACAAGCTATTTTATGTTAAATGGAAAGTTGCAAACCAATAAAAGCATTCTGGCCACACACTGAAACACGTGTCTTGCTCATTTCTCTGCTCTTCACCACCACTCCATGGCCATGGGCCCTGCTGTTCCTGCTGGGTGTTGGTCTTCACGTGGCTCCTGATGCTGAGGCTCTGAGCCCTGTTAGGATGAGGCATGGAGGTCACTTGTGCCTCAAGCCGCCCTCCACATGGAGCCCTGCCTCTCCCGGGATTCCTCTCTGCCTGTGTCCTGTCACCGCTGGCCTGCTGGGACCAGAACTGTCCCTGGGGCCAGGCCAGTAGAAGCCCCAAGGCTGGGAAAGCTCCTGGGTATTTCAGACTCTCCCCTCCTCCTGGCCCACTTGGCCGTCTCCCCTGGGAAGTCCTTGCAGCTGACTTGGTCTGATTTTCTTTGTTAGTTTTTTTCCCTGGTCCTGGGGATCAAACTCAGGACCTCGTGCTTGCAAAGGCAGCTGTGGTGCCACTGAGCTACATCCCAGACTTCTTTGTTACTCTTTACAAAGGCCTTTTTCCTCAGTAATCAAACACATTTCTAAGGGCTCCAAACCCTTCTCGCTGTGATTCCTCTCCTCCATCCTCTCCCAGGAGGAAGCCCTAAGTCTTCTCCAGTGTGGCAGGCCTGGGAATGAGAGGGACCCACCACACCCACACGTAGGAGGCTGCACACGCAGACCCCACTACCGTACGCTCTCCCAGCCCCCGTGCCTAGGGCAGAGCGATCAGCTGCACGTCTCCATCCACAGCCCTCCACTCCAGTCTGCGAAACACACCAGAAATTGTCAGGAAACAGAGACCAGGGCCGGTTCCCAAACTACGGAGCTTTGGCAATGTCTCTCTGAGCTGTCCCCTGCTGCCCTAAACTTGGAGTGATATTCTTTCCAAGTTCTTAATGGGCGATACTGACAGAGATAAATTATTTCAGACTATTGAAAGAGACATTAGTTTACTGTCGGGAATTGGCAAATCACAGGAGAAGACATCAAAAAATATGTTAAAAATCTCCAGCTCTTTTCAGGTGCCTTGTTCACAGTCACAGTGTTGGTCACTGAGATTTAGTCAGTGTTTTTTGCAAAAAATAAATTAATGATTAATTTGGTAATGGAAACTTCGGGTTTTTTAATGGAACAGTGAGGTTAATTCAAGAAAAATTCAAAATGTGAATTATGCATATGAATATCTTGTTTAAAAAGCAGTTTGTTACTCCTTTTTTTAGACCGAGAAATAATCACCTATGTAATATCAATGAATACACCTTGTATCAAGACTTTCTTTAAATACGATTTCTTATACATGCCCAGAACCTGGGTGCCCTGGAGAAAAGTGCTAGAAGGTAGCAAGATAAATTAAATTCCAGGATAAGAAGGTACTCTTCTTATCCTGGAAAGCAAGGAAGATAACTGACTCAGAAAAACAAAGGTGTCAAATCTGGACACTAGAACTGCACACTTCAGCCATCTGCGCCTCAATGATTTAAATGCACTGGCACACATAATAAATACGTCTGAAAGTATTCTACGCAAAACGTAATGCAGAAAATATGCAAAATGGAAAACTTACTAGTTGCCTTTAGAAGATGCTGAAAACCAATTCATTATTTTGAACATGAGTTAAGAAAGGGAAAGAACCCAGGCATTTATCCAGTGTTTGATGAACCGACTCTCTTATGGTAGCCAAAAGTGAGAGAAGCGTTCCAGTTTTTAGACGGAGGAGAAATCATGGAAGGAGGAAGTCACCACTTCGTAGCCCCTCGTGAAATAGTGAGTCTAGACAATTTACTGAGTGCCACTAAGTCAGTGCTTGGAGGAAAATGTAAGCCTTAAGTGAATGTTAGAGTAAGAAAACAAGATTATTGGGCTAGAAACCTCTCTGTAGGACTGACAGGGGTCATAGTAGAGCACCAAATGCAGGGACAGTTAGGTCCCTGGGTTCCTCTCCTTCTTGGAACTGTGGAATGTAAGGGAGATGGCAGGAGGGCCCCTCCATAAACCACCTTCAAGTCGGATATTCCGTCGGATATTCCATCGGATTGCTTGAGCTGGGAGCAGAAGCTTGAAATGCTGATTGCCTCTTTCCACCTTTGCTTTTCCTCCCCGCATGGTGACCACTAAGGCTCCAACTAGTGGCCAGAGAAAGGATGCATAGCAGAGCTACCCTTCAGAGTAATACAGTAAGAGCAGGAATTAAACCTCTGTCCTGTTGAACTCTGACACTGGGCATTGGGGTGTGGCTTTTGGGGCAACATAACCAGCCTATCCGGGTTGAGTCAGAAACACACCCTTGCCAAAGCAGGAAACTGTCTCTTTGCTTTATTGGCCAAGGGCTGTGTGGAGAGAGAGAGCTAGCAGGCACTGGAAAGGGGATTTGTACACATTTGGTAAATCTGTCCTGGACCGGGCATCTCCTGAAAACATGATGCTACTTCTGTGCTGGTCACTTAGGGCTCCAGCAAAACATTATGAAGTTGGCTCAAAAGGATTGGCAGGCTTGCAAGCCAGAAGAAAAGGAAGAGAAAGCACGAAGCAATTTGAGAAACTGCAGCTTTTCACATGGTAAATGTCAATACTTAAAAAGCCTTTGGGCAACAAAGGACAGCTAAGCCGCCAACTAAAATTAGCCCATTTTAAATGTCCACATCCATGAAGCTGCAAGATGACTGCCCAGAGGGCGGGTGACCCAGGAGGGGACTTTGGACACTGCTCTCCAGTGCTTGGCTCAGTATTCTTTTCTGGGTGGCAGACAGTTCCTGTGGGCAAACCAGAGTCTTCGGCACAAGGAAGAGACTTCTTCAGGGAAGAGGGGTGGAGCTGGATGGGCAGGAATCCTGAGGGGGAATCTCAGCACATCTCTGATCCAAGGCATCTAGGACAGACTCTGTCCCCGAGAGTGGGTAGATTATAGCTCAGGCTACTGACTTCCTTCCTGTGCCATTAGAAGCTACATCTCGGTCTCCCTTGCAGAATTCCCTTCCCAGCCTTCAAATCCTGTGCAGAACCAGGTTGAGATATAGGTCCCTTTCTGTCCTGCAAGCTCCCCTGTGAATTTTGCTCCATCAGCTCTTGACCTCTTGCTCATAGGCCCAGGTGCCTGCTTCCCATGGCTCCTTGGCACCTCCAACTCGTCCCAGCTGGTCTTTTTCCTGTCCCTAAAGCCAGCTCTCTTTCTCTCTGTCTCTGTCTCTCTGTCTCTGTCTCTCTCTCTCTCTCTCTCTCTCTCTCTCTCTCTCTCTCTCTCTTCAGCCCTTCCTGTTGTGCTGATGATGGTGGCACCAGACTCCCAGATGCTCAGGTCAAAACCCTGGTCCTTCCTCTGGACTGTGTTGTATCACTTCCCACCTCAATGTGGAGGCAAACACCATTGGATCTACCTTTTACATAGATTTAGAGCTCAATTTGCCAATTGCCTGACTGGTAATTCACTTAATGGCCACCTTCACCAGCGCAACTCATGCCCAGGGCATCACCACCTACTGCTTGCTCTTCCGTGCACTCTACAAACATCGCCTCCTTCAATGATCACAAACTCCTACGAACTATGCACTCCTTCTATAAGATTTTACTTCTTATTTCTGGATAGTTGTGAATTCACGTGGTTCTAGATACTTGCGGATTTTAATTTGGGTAGCTGTGGGTACTTTGGAGAGTTGACAGAAAGCACAGAGGGGACCCCAAGTACTCTTTCCTGGGGTTTCCCAAGGTAGCATCCTGAAAACATCATCTGCATCCTCACACACAGGACAACCATTCCCCGTCCTGCAATCCCTACCCTGTTCCCAGTTGGGCAATCACAGACCTCTTCTCCCTCCTGTCATTTTGTAGTCTCAGGAATGTTGTATAAATGGCACCACAAGGTGGGCAACTGCTGGGATTGGCTCTTTTCCCACCTTTTATCTCTCTGGAGTCTTGTCCAAGATGTTATGAGCATCAGTGTTTATTGCATCTTACTGCTGAGTTGTGCTCCCTAGGACGGAAGGACCATGGTACAGACAAACTGCAGTACAGATGGGTCACAGAACAGAGGCACCATGAATTTTTTAAAAATCACCCTGTAAAGAACTTTGTGTTGTTCCCAGTGTGTGGCTGTCATGAATAAAGCTCTTATAAACATTCACAGACATGTTTTTGTGTGAGCAAACATTTTTGTCCCTCTGGATGCATAGCCCAAAATGAGAATCCTGGTTTATATTGTACTTATGTGTCTTTTTTTTAAGATGCTGAAAAATGATTTTCTAGATTCGCTATAACTTTCTGTACTGCCCTGGCCAATGTAGGAATGATCCAGTTTCTCTGCATTCTCATCAGCACTGGGTGGTGTTACTATTTTTCAATTACACCATTAGAACAGATAAGCCATAATGTACTGCGATGGGTCTTTATTTTGTATTGTTTTGTTTTTGCAGGGCCAAAGGTGGAACTCAGGACCTCACATGTGCTAGGCAAGTACTCTACTGCTGAGCTACATCCTCAGCCCTTTTTATTTTTTATTTTGAAGTACAGTCTCACTAAATTGTCCAGGCTAGGCTAGAACTTTTTCTTTTCTTTTCTTTTCTTTTTACAAGTAGGTCATTACAATATATAAACTTATGGGGACTCAAAAGAGGAATACACCATACGCAAACAAGCAGGAAAAGCTACTTCTCAACTTTTAGCACAGA